TYCMWWWTTKRWTTYCYWAAAMYYYTGTAAGCAGTAGGAACCTTTGTCCRAAATTGGGAATATTAATTCCACGTGCATAACTGAGTTGGATAATCATATGTAGACACACTATTCATACAAATGTATCTGGCAAAAAAAAAAAGTGCATCTGTTCACCTGTGACAATGTGCCAGAGACCTTCAACACTCATGACAGTAAAAGTTAAATCTGAAATCTTAATGGAATCACAGCTTTCCAACCTCTGTGTGGAGAGAAACTGCCAACCTGCCTTGCACAGATAAGGCAAAGCATTAAAATCAGCTTGCTGGCTGCTGGTTCTGCTGAAAATCTCTTTTTCRAGGTTTGACCCAAAGCCATCTGAAGCTACAGGGCAAGCAGTCCTCAGATCAGATGTGAAGAGGAGAACTGCTCCAGAAAAAAAGCTTTGGAAAAGGAGCTTTTATTGAAAGGATCCTTCCCCTGTGTGATTCATGGCTGGGAGGAAGTTGTTCAGCACTGAATGTAACAGTGAGGATGATCAGATGTCACAAGTCAAGGCCTGGGACGAGTGCCCTGGTTCCGGCAGCGCTGTCCCAGTGTTGTGACAGCTACACAGGGATCACCTCCTGACTCCGGCTGTGCGGGGAGCCGCTCCCTGCTCCGATGGCGATAAGACACAAAAGCAGCATATTAATTTCAAGCAGCACAAAAWGCACCAGGAGGAGAAGTGAAAGGCTGGAGTCGCCCCAGGAATGTGCTGCTGGAGATCAGTGTGTTTTCCTTGCTGGGCTCTCATGGACGCTGCAATCTAGCATCCTGCTTCCCAAACAGCACCAAGGCTTCCACAACTCCTGCCTTTGCTCACATTCCAACTCAAAATCCCAGATGACAGCCTGGGGCTGGATAGARGATCTGCTTTGCTGTTGTGCAGTCCCAAAGGGAACTGGTCTCCTACTCACACAGGAGTCTTGYGGTTTCCAGGCCCCACCCCAAACCAGGTGAGACCCCTGCTGTCCCCTGTGCTTCTCCAAGGGACATCACAGACGGTTCAACACTGCTCACACACAGCTCACAGGGGCCAGGGAACCCTGAATAACCAGCACTTCAAAACATACTTAAAAAATAGAATAAAATGAAAGAGTAATAAAATGGCTGAGGAAAATGTCACTGTAATATGAAAAAAAAAAAGACAGCCACAGTACTAAATTGCAAAGTTGTGGAAATTGGCCATTAAATGTTCAAAGGAGTTGAAATGCAATTACAGTAATAGGCATGAATCAGGATAACCCTGGGCTTTGCAATATTTCAATCCAGCTCTACTTTTCCCTTTTTTCCATTTTATCTTAATGATATATACATTAACTTATCAAGGACTAATGGAAATTACAAACCATGGAATGAGAGAATCACAGAATCATGTAGATTGGAAAAGCCCTCCAAGTCTGAGCAATCACCACCTTGGCAATTAGACCACTCACAAAGTGCACATCCATGCATTTTTTGAACACCTCCAGGGATGGGGATCCACCTTGTCCAGGGCTTTACAACCCTTTCCAAGAAGAATTTTCCTGATATTCAACCTGAAACTCCTCTGGTGTAACTCGGGGTCATTCCCTCTCCTCCTGTCCCTGTTCCCTGGAGCAGAGCCCGACCCCCCCGGCTGTCCCCTCCTGTCAGGGAGTTGTGCAGAGCCACAAGGTYCCCCCGGAGCCTCCTTTGCTCCAGGCTGAGCCCCTTTCCCAGCTCCCTCAGCCRCTCCTGGGGCTCCAGMCCCTTCCCCAGCTCCRTTCCCTGCCCTGGACATGCTCCAGCCCCTCAATGACAATGACACCTTCCACAGCATGTCCTTGACAGCCATAGAACCAAAGGTGTCAGCATTAAACTGTTGACCTGATGGATCCAACAGTAATTTATTAACTATTTTTTCAATTTCCCATCATTCTCCAATTAACCTCCTCTATTTGTAGCATCAAGTCTTCTTGTAGGATATTTTTTATTTTGGTCACTGATGAAAGTCACTAGAGATGGCCCAAGATGCTTCTTTATTGACTCCCTGCAGTGAAGGGGCAGGAACACCAGTTCCCATTGCACCAGGAGGCTGCAGGTGCAGCATCCACCTGGCCAGAGGAACCAGAGGAATCGCTCAACTTTGGAGTCTTAATGGAGCAAGCTCCTGTGGGTGGGCATCCCCAGAAGGCACAGCCCTGAGCAGGGTACCAGGCTGTGTCTCCAGGAAAGAATTATCACTGAAAATATTCAGTTATAATAATAYTATCTTCTAATGATAATTCAAGCAGCTCATCTGATCCAACAGCTTCTTGGACTCTCTTTGCCTGCTGTTTCTCTAATTATCCAACCTCAGGAGGAAGGTGATTATCTGCTTATTAAGGAAAACAGATATGCTTTATTATGAAAAGCATTTTTTTTTTCAGGCAGGTTTGTTGTAGCAACACAGCACATGACACAGGTTAAAGCGTGCCAGTTTGCTTTTCCAGAGAAAAGACAGGTTCAGCAGAAAAGTGCTTTCAACCTTTTACTTATTTTTAGCTCACRAGGCAAACAATGTCATGGGATGGTTTGAGTGGGAAGGAACCTTAAAGCCCATCCCACCCCTGCCATGGGCAGGGACACCTCCCACTGTCCCAGGCTGCTCCCAGCCCCAATGTCCAGCCTGGCCTTGGACACTGCCAGGGATCCAGGGGCAGCYACAGMTTCTCTGGGCACCCTGTGCCAGGGCCTCCCCACCCTCCCAGGGAACAATTCCTTCCCAATATCCCATCCATCCCTGCCCTCTGGCACTGGGAAGCCATTCCCTGTGTCCTGTCCCTCCATCCCTTGTCCCCAGTCCCTCTCCAGCTCTYCTGGAGCTCCTTTAGGGACTGGAGAGGGCTCTGAGTTCTCTCTGGAGCCTTCTCCAGGCTGAACAATCCCAACTCTCCCAGCCTGGATCCACTGGAGAAAATTATGAGTCTAACATGAAGGCATATTAAGCTAATATTAATCTCATATGGATTATTAGTCTATTAAAGAAAATAACATAAGCATGCATAAACCAAGATTTCCAGACATTCTGCCCACACTGAACTCTCGGCACATCCTCAGTACTGATGGCTTCAGTTTTTACTTCCAGCTGTGCTCCTACCTGGAAACACAGTCCCCAAAGCCATTTTCAGTATTTGCTCAAACATGTTGTCTCTGTTCCACTGAACTTGAAGTTCCGAGTCCTCCAAATCCTTGTATTTTAGCAGACCTGTGATAATTATCTTGTTGGGCAGCCAAGACAGAGTCCTCGTGCTGCTTGCCTTCAGAAAAGCATCACTAATGGCACATCTTGCTTTAAAACAGGGTAATTAAAAGACAAAAAATCCTAAAATGAGGCTCTTGCAAAATGTTCTGACCAAAATGATATGTATGTAATAAAAATCTCATTATTTTTCAATTATTCATCTACTTTGCAAGGGAATGAGTCAGAGCATCTGTTTTGGAGGCCCATCAAGATGACTGGCAGTGGGTGCCTCTCTCCTGGCACATTTGAATCAGGGGTGGCCTCACACTGTGCTGACCCCAATATCACCCTGCTGCTGCTTGGATTGAATGAACAATGAAATAGCACTTGCTGGATGGAAGCA